GTGGGCAGCCGAGGAAGACCTCGTAAGCTTCAGAGTCCAGAGTGTTTATGGAGACATCATCATGTAGCCACGACTGATTGATTGTCCACTTGGTTAATCTCATCTCTGGGTTGACCGACTTCTGGAGTGGCCACCCCTCCTCCGGAGACTGATTAGCAGGAGTGCTCCAGTGTGTCTTAAACAAAGATAATCCAATCAGGTATGACATATATTACCTTCCAGAAGCCCACAGTCCAACAGTGAAAGCCAGGCCTCCCTTTGGGCAAAACCAAATTCTTTATTACATGGTAAATAAATGAGCTGCCCTTAGTAGGATCTCTGAGGCCCTTGTCTCCAAACTTTGGGCCTGTTACCTGCTTGAGCTTAAGCAAGGCTTATCAATCATAATGGACTTCTGTGGAGAAAACAAAAGAAAAAAAAATATCTCAGGCTTAAAACAGCATAGGTCTCTTTCTCCTCCCCTCTCCATGGCCAGAATGGGTTGAATGAGGCTTCTGCTCCCTATTTCCTTGCTCGAGGTCAAGGCTCAGGGAGCCAGCACCACCTTGAGCGTCACTCTGCAATGGCAAAGCAAGACAGTAATGGATCATGTGTTGGCCATCCAGGCAGAAGGGACACACATTGCTTCTCACATGTCATTGGCCAATGCAAGTTTGACACTTACATCAAGTTTAGGGGTAGGAGACTGAAAAACTGTTTTACCCTGTGTCCAAAAAGACAAGAACTGATCATCATAGCCCTAGTCCCTACCCCCAAGGGGTTTATCTCTAAAAACAAAAAGACTCACATAAAAGACTTTTAACCATCGCTCTGTTTTTCCCCCTCATTTTCCTACCTAAATGAGAAATCAGAATTCACTCATGGAGTCTTAGATATTCTGCTTACACGCTGTTGGCTCCATCTCATTCTGCCATCCACTTTTAGACCAGGTTCTCTGACTCTTGCTGGTTCTTTATTTAGGGTTGTTGGGATTGCTTAAGTCCTGGTATACAGAGATGGAGAGTTGACCCACTTCTCTGCGTGTGCCTCGTCCCTCTTCCTCCACAGAACCCATCTTTGCAGTCACGTGGCAGTTGCGGATCATGAGCATGCTCTTTAATCCCCGCTCTATGCCGTGGCTTACATGGTTCCTTTATAGACTTGCCCAGCCCACCGCACTGGCCAGCAGGCCACACAGACTCATATTTATCCCAGGGTCTCAACTCAGATTTGTCCTTCTTTAATTTTTGTCCACTACTTCCTTATCTGTGAATTTATTGGTTTTCTGTAAATCGGTTAGCACCCTTGTCTTTGACTAACTCTTTATGCCTTCCGCTAAAGATGTAAAGGTAGAAATGCTGTCTTTTTCTGTCCTTGTGTCTCCAGCACAGTAACAGCCTGAGAATAACTTAATAGATCTTTGATGAACTGGCAATTATGGAGATATTGAATCACTAGGATTGACAGGAGAGAGAAGTAAAGTCATACTTATCAGTTATAACAGGTCCTCTTGAAAAAAAACACCTTCTTTCGACTAAATTATTTCTAGCCATTAAAAGTTGACCCTTGCTTTTATGTTAACGAGTGACCCAACATAGTTAATTTTAACACAAGGAGTTCAACAAAGATTCCTACTGCCTTTGTGGGTATCAGGCAACTGTTTTCTATGTGATTTACCTCTGCACTACATTTCCAGTCCTGTAGCCCGGACTGGCTGCTGTTGGTTACCAGGGGATGGATGGGGCTGGGAGATGGGAGAGGTCTCTGACCGAGGGCTGTAGAGAGAGGCATTGCCAGACACATTCCTCAGAAAAAGAAAGAAAGCTCTGAGATCAAAACACACTCAGTCTGCAGCTTGCTTTCTTTCTCTTTCTTTCTTTCTTTCTTTCTTTCTTTCTTTCTTTCTTTCTTTCTTTCTTTAATTGCTGGGGGAAAGAACCGCACACCATTTTCTTCTGGTATCTATTTTAAGATCCTGTGTCCCCTTCAAATCTTTCTTCTATATATGTGGTATATGGAGAGGAGGAAAGGGAAAACAGAGAGGGAGGTTAAGAAATGTATTTAAGGGTGCCTGGGTGGCTCAGTGGGTTAAGCCGCTGCCTTCGGCTCAGGTCATGATCTCAGGGTCCTGGGATCGAGTCCCGCATCGGGCTCTCTGCTCAGCAGGGAGCCTGCTTCCCTTCCTCTCTCTCTGCCTGCCTCTCTGCCTACTTGTGATCTCTGTCTGTCAAATAAATGAATGAAATCTTTAAAAAAAAAAAAAAAGAAATGTATTTAAAATAATTTGATTCAAATGATCTACTTTTCAAAGTCACAGCACCCATGTTTCATGCCATTTAGATGCCTAGGCCTTTTCAAAAGAATGGGCTGCAGAATGCTGGTTGGGAGAGGTGGGCAGGAATTGAAGACCTTCAAGTGAGTGGCCCTCCCAACTTGGCAGGTCACCAGGTGAAATGCCAGATGAAGCTGGGTTTTAGGTGGGCGGACATCCATCTCGGTCCCTGTTGGAGCTTGACGTTCCAGCATAACTATTCTTAGTGACCTGTTTGGTTCTCAAAGGTCTGCTGGTGTGGAATAGGTGCCCTGGTTTTAGGCTCTCCCAGAGGGGAGAATATTGGAGTGATGGATGGGAAGGAACAAGACTCCAGAGTGAAGAGGGCTCTGGGGAGAGTGATTTTATGAGAGTACGTCTGTACAGGGTTTTCCTTAAAAGGCTGCATATAGTGCTTTCTGAAATGCCTTGCAGACTTTCTTCTGACGTACTTCTTGACATCAGTTTATTTTTCTTTGGTGCAGCTCAGCGTGTCTCAGCGCAGCCTGGATTTCTCTGAGACTCACAGGCGGCAGTGCTGTGTGTGTGTGTGTGATTCAAGCCTGGACAGATTGGCTGTGAATGGGGTGATAAGAATAGAGAGAAGCACATACCAGTAAACCACACTTCCTGTGCACAAGCCTTTGAATACTGCGTTTCACTGTCTGAAATAGCATTCATCTTAAGGCTGGGATCATTTATTCCCTGTGGAATTAAGCAAGAGCACTGGCGGCAGCAGAAACTATTTTGGGAAAGAGATGTGGGAGGAATTTTGCTATGTATTACAGGCGAGGCAGAAGTGCCTTCCGTGGTTTTGAAGCCCTGGTAAGTGGGGAATTGACAACTTTCAGATAATCCCACATCGTAATTACTATCCAGGCTAATGTGTACACACTGCGATCTATAAAGGTCGTCAGTAAAGAAGGAGTTTTTAGATGCTTCAACTTAAGTCACCTAAATGGCAGAAAGAGAACTTTCCTTTGGAGATTAGCATTAGCGTTTCGTGCAGATGCTGCTGAGAAGGGGTAAAATACAGCATCTGTTCCTGTCCCCTCAAGTATGCCCTTGCAGGTGGTTTTTACATATTCCCAGGTAAACTTCCTTCCCTCCTCAGAGAAATTTAAAATAAAGCAGTGAATGCTGTGCCCCCCTCACTCCCTCCCCGTAAAGCTGAGGTGGGTAGGGCTTGGCAGCTGGCAGTGGCTGCAGAGAGAAATAAGCCCGGGGCTCCGGGGTGGACAGGGCGCAGAAGCGCATGGGATCAGTGCCTGCCCTGGGACGAGGCCATGAGGACGGAGCTGCCGCGGGAGGCCACAAGTTCAGGCAGTGAATGGGAGGTCGGGGCTCATAGGAGCCAGTGTGACAGTCCTTTTCATCAAGCTATTGCTTTTGCAGGGGTGAAGTGGGCAAACTTTAGAGGACAGAGAAAAGTCAGCTGCAACTTAAATGACTTCTGTCTTGTCATTGAATTAGTGTATCTAATGGAAACCAAGACATTATGTTGCTCTGTTTCTATTTAACTTTGCTATTGGATAGTCAGTCCTTCAACTGGTAAAGAACTGAGTACCTTCAGAATTTTGTCTTTACGAATTAGCTGCAATTAGAAATTATAAACAGCAGCCTGGTGCTATTTTAAAATTCTCTACGTTTTTTCCATGGAAGGCTTTTGAATTTTTTTTCCAATGTGGTAGATGGAATCACAACAGATTTTTGTTGTTGTTGTTATCTTATTTTATTTTCACTTTGGCCTTGGAATTAATGTGAGAGGCAGAGATGTTAAGGTTCCACACCCCAGACAGTGCTGTCGAGATTTATGATAAACACTTCATAAATTACATCCTATTGCTCAAAAATATATAGAAAATTTACTTTAAGTCAAAACCATAAATATCCACTTGTTTTGTATGGGGAGCTTGGTGAAGAAATAGTACCATTATAGACATCAATGGCCTATATATATTTTTTTAAGCAAATGAACTATCATTTTATGTTCCAGTTAAATCGAATCAAAATGATCTCAGAATCTGAAATACATTGCTGTCTATCTGGACGTGACATGAAAAGTTTTTCATTTTTATGCAATATTTCTGATTCTTTATAGTTTTAATTACCCATGTGAGAAATTGGTGGAAAAGACCTTTATCTCATGACAAGACATAAGAAAAGTACTGAAAATTTTGAGGCATGTCAAGAAAAAACTTGAAAAAAATTCAAGAAAAAAATTCTTTTAAATTACAAGATTCTTTAAGTAGTATTTTTCTTTTTGTGTGTCTATTTCACTAGGATGCTAGAGAAGTAACTTTAAGCACAAGTGTTAAGTTGATAGGGTTGAAAGAGGTAGAGTGGTAGAGAAGGAAGGGGGAGTGAACATTTTTTAAAAAGAAGATTTTAAAAAAAAAGCAACTTTGAAGTGTCCAGAGGAGAAAAAGCTTACCTGGGGCTGCTACGTGGGAGGATCCACACTGGGACATCTAAGGAGAGGGGACAGCCCGAATTGAGTTTGGGAAGAAAATCAGGCACTTTCCCCCCGGGGTTTCGCCTGGATCCTTAAACACATTCATCCAAGATGACGGAAACTCATCACCAGCCCCCTGACTGTGGGTTTACTTGTGGGATGAAATCGCCAGTGGTCCCAGGCTCTTCGATCTTTTCCTTTGTGATTGTCTGCATTGTCACAAACTCTCTGACCGTCCCCTCTTCTGTGTTCTAGGAGAGACAGCGCCTGGAGACGATCCTCAGTCTCTGTGCTGAATACACGAAGCCTGACAGTCACTTGTCCACCGGCACCACCGTAGCCGACGTGCAGAAGATCAACAAGGAGCTTGAGAAGCTGCAGCTGTCTGACGAGGAGTCCGTGTTTGAGGAAGCCGTGGTGAGCCCTGATGCCAGGTACAGGTGCCACCCGAAAGGCTCTCTCCACGATGCCAACTCAGCGGTCTTCGGGAGCTTTGGGCAGAGCGGTGCCGGCTTCCTTTCCCCCAGGAGCATCAGGAATGATGAGCTGCTCAGGGACCTCACACCTGCCTTCCTGAAAACGTCCAGCGAGTCTGCTTATCTTAGTATCCTACCCAAGGTAAAGGCGACAGAGCAAAAAGATCAGGATTTAGGGCCCGGGGCTCTGCTTCTGCTTTGGCCCAGAGATGAAAGGCTTTGTCGAACTTGTTTCCCAAAATGTTTTCAGTGAAGCTTCAATTTAAGAGGTAATTAGCTAAATGAGGTGCAGCAAATTAGGGCGTTTACTCTTAAGTAACAAGTGTGCACTGTAAGAATTGTAGCAATACAGAAAACTCCAAAGAAGGAAATTTCTCTTTTCTCTGCCCCCTCCCGGTTGTACACCTGAGAAATAAACACCAAAGTGTCTTACCTGCCTTCTTCATATTTCTGTGCATATTACAGCCACAGGCATGGACGCACAGATGCAAACATACAGTGTTCTGCCCTTTTTCTTTGCCTCACTCAATATCTTGCACATTTTTGCATTTTAGTACACACAGCTCTGGCTCATTCTTTTTAAAAGCTGGCTAGTATTCTATTGTTTGGAAATACCACTTAAATTGTTTCTAGTTTTTTTACTAATAAAATGGATATGCAGTGAATATTGTGCAAATGTATCTTCAAGTTCACTTACTAAAATTGGAATGGCTGGGTCAAAGAGTTTGTATGTTATTCATTTTATTTATTTTTTATTTTTTTAAGACTTTATTGATTTATTTGACAGACAGAGATCACAGGTAGGCAGAGAGGCAGGCAGAGAAAGAGGAAGGGAAGCAGGCTTCCTGCTGAGCAGAGAGCCCCACTCAGGGCTCGATCCCAGGACCCTGGGATCACGACCTGAGCCAAAGGCAGAGGCTTTAACCCACTGAGCCACCCAGGCGCCCCTATGTTATTCATTTTAATCGGTACTTCCAAATGGTACTCTCGAAAGACTGCATATTTCCAGGTGACACTTCCACCAACAGTGAGCATGCCTTGTTCTCCATACACTTTCCAAGGCTGCACATTTTCAGAATTTTTCAATATACTAAATTAATTGGTGTCTAATTTGCTTGCCCTTAATTATGCATAAAGTTAGACATCTTTTCTTATTTTTAGTTGTGAATTTGTGTTTTGACCCACTTACTCATGTTCTTCACCCATTTTTTAAAAATTTCTTACCTTGTTTTTACTAAGTCATTAGAGTTATTTGTAAGGAAATTAGTCTTTTATCATGAGTGGTCTTAAACACTTACACATAAGTAAATATGTGTACTTATGATATTTTTTAGATGTATAAGTGTTTAAGATTCATATGTAGTCATTATTCCTTAGTCTTCTGGTTGTATATTGATTTCAAAATGTCTTCCAAATTTGAGGATTTCTTAAATGGAATTAGAGGAAAATCTTTTGGTGTAACTTTTTTCACACAGGTTAAGATTCTTTTTTTTTTTTTTTTAAGAGAGAGACAGAGAGTGTGTGCAAGTGTGCAAGGAGAGGGCAGAGGGAGAGAGAGAGCGAGGAATCTTAAGCAGGCTCCATGACCAGTGCAGAGACCAACCTGGGGCTTGATCTCATGACTCCAAGGTCATTATCTGAGCCAAAATCAAGAGTCAGACGCTTAACTGACTAGCTACCTAAGTGTTCCGAGAATCTTTTTTCTATGAAATTAAAATAAATTCTACTTCTTTTCTAGAAAGGATTTAAGAGAGTGACAAGAAGATATAAGCTTTATTGGAATAAAATTAACACACCAAAAATAGTAATCAGGAGGAAAAAACAGATGCTATAATCACAAGAATTTATTTAAGTAAAGAGGATTAATTAATTAAGTAAGTAACTCAGACCATTAAGTTCAATTCTGAGATTCTTGGCCATTATAGCCAAAGAATGAAAAACAAAAAAAAAAAATTATCAGTTAAAATTTTGTTGTAAGAGAATGACACAAACCGATTAAGAGAAAGACATTATCATGTGCAAATTTCCGGAAGTAGTTTATCACCTGGAGTATTATTCAGGAGGAGTGTGTATGTTTGTTTTGACTTTTTTACTCAGTGTTCCTCATCAGGAGTCCATCCTGGACTAACCTTCTGAGTTCTCCCAGCATCAGCATCAGGACTTGGAAATGTTCAGTCCTTCTTTCTCCTAATGACCACAATGACCTTACTCATTCTCTGTGGAAAGTACTTCCAAATAAGACATCTGTCTCCATTGCCAGAAAGTTGCAACTCTTAGAAACTAGGATGGGCGGCAGAATCAAAAGTTGGTTGTGTTCAGCAAAGTAAATGACCCACCATTTGAAAGCTTGAGCTGTTTACATCAGCCCTTAGGCTTCCTTTGAAGTCTTGTCTCTCTTTTCATTTAAATGTCTTCCAACATGGACAGCTGCAAGACTTTGGTAAAACAGTAAGCTGTGTGTCTCTCTCTAAGGACCATCTTTAGGAAGACAGGTTTCCTGCTGAAGAGAGCTAGGACAGGAGAGCTGCTGTCGTGTAAATGGGCAGATCGTGGCGGATGTTTCTAATTGCCCAAATATGCTTTTGTGGAAAAGGACGCCTCTAAAGCTTAGAGCAACCTCCGTTGTGGCCAGACGTGTAAGACTGTGCATCCTTTAGAGACAGGAAATAACAAAGGCGCCTCTGGTTACCTCGCAGAAGCTTAGGCAGGGAGTGAGGGAGGGGATGAGTTCCAAGGACGGAGGTTTGCCTGTATGACTTTTCGGAGACAGATATAGGTCATCCCAGGACAGCAGATAGAAGAGTGTTTTATTAAATGAGCATTTGTTTTGGATGCTTTTCTTCTTAGTAATCTGCTCACTAACTCGTTTACTTAGCAAAGGACAGTGTTTGTTATTAATCGATCTAAGGATCAAATGCAGAGGAGAAGAATATGACAGATCCATTGATTTAAGGAAACAAAGATTTTGATGATATTTAGGAAACATGAGACTTACTGTTCTGGAACTTAGTTTTAGCTAACACATAAAGATACAGATGACCTTAGAAATATGCACATTTAATTTAATTTAATATTTTATGATTTACTTATTTTAGAGAGAAAAAGTGAGAGCAAAGGGGGAGGAGCAGAGGGAGAGGAAGAAGGAGAAAGAGACTCTCAAGCAGACTCCCCACTGAGCATGGAGCCTGCGACCAGGCTCGATCTCACAATCCTGAGATCATGACCTGAACCCAAACTGAGTCAGATGCTTAACTGACTTGAGCCACCCAGGCACCCCGGAATATACTCATTTTAATTGGCTTTTGTGAACCTGTCTTCTGGCACCTGAGGTGAAAGCTGAGAGTAGCTCACTGTTCTTTTTTCCTGTAGTGTTAGGATATAAGTCAAACGTACAGCACTTGTGTGTTTTGTGTACAGCCTTGTGACGTGACTTACAAATATCGTGAAATGATTGCCACGCTTAGTTTAGCTAACATCCATCACCTCATATTGTTATTTGAGGGAAAAAAAAAGTTCTTTGAGAATTTTCTCCCTCTTCTCTTGTTGAGTAATCATTCTGTCTACAGTGGACCGCCGTCACACTTGCACCTTCCTCTGGTTGCAAGGAGTTTCTAAGGAGATTTGGGGGCGAAAAAGCAGAAACAAAGTGTCTCGTTTCTACCGTCCCTCCCTTTTCTCTGTGGAGATCAGGTTACCTCATAGATGGCGTATTTGGGGATGCTCCTATGTGTGTAAACAGTACGCTCATCCCATTCCATCACCAACCATTCAGTTTTGGAATGCCTTTTGAAGATTTTACTCTTTATAAATAACAAAAAAGAACGACCATTTCCTAGATAGCACTGATGGTTATAAACAGTCTTTCAAATGGTCTATTATCTACGGTGCCCATTGTGGTCAGTTGTTTAGAAACTTGGAGTTAGACGTTTATAATCGCCACTGTCACCTTTCTTCACCCGACACTTGCTTAGAAAGCTTAGGGTGTGGAGATTGCTCAGCTTTTGTTTGCTCTTAATGCTTGACTTCCACCAGTGAGAGATATTTTTAAACCATGCTGGCAGCTGAAACCCAATATGAAATGTTCACCCAACAGGATACTGGCCTTCTTGGGCCTTTCCTGCTAGGATTACACGTCAGTGATTTTGGAATGCCATTCACTGTTACGGGCCTTCCTCTCACCCTAAAACAGCCACCTGAGTACTAAGACAATGAGATTCATTGTGATAAAAAGGTCAGCGGTTGTTTTATTAATTGGCAAGATACTGCATTTAAGATGGCAATTAGGAGTCTAAATGTCAAAGCCTGGAAGGCCTGCGTACCTTTGCTAATCACCCTGAGATACTGTGACATCTCAATTGTTTGATCTCCTTAAGGGGCAGTGAAGTAGGGTAAAGAATAAAGACTGTGAATAAGGAAGGCCACATGCTGGCTCTCTTCTTGAAGTTATTTTCAAGATCATCTAATAAATCAAATGAATTTCATGTGGCATACCAAATGTTAATTATTTCTTTGGTTAATATGAATATTCTTGAATACTAATGAGTAATCTTCAATAATTTACTTATTGAGGCTGCTGTGTTTAATGTCCAATTGTGAAATTGTTTCATGGCTGACTTACTCATGCAGAAAAATTATTTCTTTTTCAAAAAGAGATAAAAATTGAGTAAGTGATGTACCTCTACCCCAGCATCCCCGGACTTACAGAAAGACTAATCAGCTGATATCTAGGATAACTACCTGAAATGGCTGAAAGAGGCGATTTTCAATTCATTATACTCTCTTCTTAAAACAATAGGCAGTCCCAGTTTGCGTGTGTATGATCCCAAATGCTCCCTTCCTCCCTGGGCACCTGTCATCACTCTGTTCAGGGGTATAAGTATGTCCTCTCTTACCCAGTTTTTTTCCTGACTTTCTCATTCCTTGCCAAGGAACTCAAGTTTTTTTCTGTGAAGTGACCAGTGCCATATTTTGTGTCAGAGAAGCCCACTGGCCCAGTTAGTGTCTTAAACATTATACAGGAAGAAGGTGCTGTAGGATAAGATAGTAACGTGTGAACACAAGAAGTGAAACATGAATTAATGTCATATTAAGTGTATAGTTTTCAGTGATTTGGGGAATCACCAAAGTAATAAGGCCTATATTATCCTGGTCATTCACTTCAAGGAACACTGAGGCGAGAGGGGCCAAGTGTATCGTGCCCTTGCTTTTCCACCATGTGTTGGAAAGGAGACAAATAAGCATGAATGCCCATTCACAGATAACCCTAGTGGTGGGGCTCAGGATACGGCTAGAAATTCGGGAAACTGTTGTAGGAACAGTGCTTACTTGGAGATGGGAGAGAATATGGAGCTTGGAGTGAAGGTAGCATCATGCCCAAGAGATCCCCGAGGAAGATGTCAAAAGTCTTGTCTAGATTCTAGTTCTTTGCTGTGCCAAACTTTTCTCTATGACCTTAAGAGAAGTCACTACAATCTCTATGGACCACAACTTCCTCATATGTACAAACTTAGTTATTTCAACTTCAAAAGAATATGAATGGATGAATTTAATTTGGTTTGTATGAGGTAACTTAAGACCCTCACTGCTGAGGATTTGTGGGAAAATGCAGAATTGCAACAGAACAATCACAAGGACGCTTTTAGAATCTAAAGAGGCACTGAGACTGTGAAACCCCAGGCTTTCTACTGGTGTGTAAATTGGGCCATTCTGGAATTGAAGTGTGAATAGCCCTTTTCTGTGTTGATTAATTGCAGACCCCTGAGGTTATAAATGATGAACAAAGGATTCAGGAGTTGGCAGCAATGGAAGAGACCCGGATAGCAGTTCTGAATAACCTCGAGGAACTTGAACAAAAAATCAAAGATATCAATGACCAGATGGACGAATCTTCCAGAGAGGTATAAAATAGGAGTTGGTGTTTTACGCCTCTCTTTCTTCTCACTTTCCTTTAGCTTAAAAATATTACTGCCTCGTAAGGCAGAGCTTTGGAAGCAGAATACATAGAAATCAACATGAGTTAGTATTTTCTTTCAGTGGGTCCATGTTAGGGTAAAAATACCTTTTTTAAAAAAGTTTTTTCCTTGTCTTTTTTTTTTTCTTAAGTCCGATGAGACATTTTGTTTTTTAAAGATTTCATTTATTTATTTGACAGAGATAGAGCGAGGGAAGGAACATGAGCAGGGGGAATGGGAGAGGGAGATCAGGCTTCCCATGGGGGAGGGAACCTGATGTGGGGCTCGATGCCAGGACCCTGGGATCATGACCTGAGCCGAAGGCAAATGCTTAATAACTGAGCCACCCAGCCACCCCAGATGAGACTTTTTGGATGTACTTTGGGCATAGCCAGTTTTGTCTTAACTAGTGTATGCTCTCTGATTTGCTACAGATCTGTCAGTTGAGGTCCCATATATTTAGGTGTCCATGTTCAAATCCAACAAACATTTCCTGAGTATGCTTACTATGAGCTGGACATCATGTCAGAATATAGGGGGTTTTATATATGAAGAAAACATAGACCCAGCTTTCTAGAGGTTTGCAAACCAGAGAGGAGACAGACACATAGTCTATTATATAATGAGAGAAAGGGGCCATTTTCATACTAACTCCATGGAGTGAGATGGAGCATGTTGATTCTGCCTACCATGTATATACTCACAGATGATGTGAAGGGGACTGCTCACCTGTCATTTTATCCACAGACCCTGGACGTCCCTCCTGCTGTCATTGCTAGGAATGCATCGCTTGCATGCTGGGCTGGGTGTAATTTTCACTTCCCAAGCTCTGTGGACAAAGACAGACACAGCTGCTCCCAAGGTGGTTTGTGCTTGAGTCTGAATGTGAGCAAATAGGCAAAATATTATTGAGAAGTTAGCAGAAAGGGAGTTATAGTAGAAAAATTAAATAATAGGTGGATTTCTTAGTAAATATATTGCAGACTGTCCAGCTTCCTTATATAGGAATTCTGAGGCTCACCTAAACTCCCTGGAGTGTTCTCTAGAGCCTGCAGTCTGGCTGATAGCATAGTACTTTTTGAAATTTGTGGCTGTTAAAAATGCACCTCTAAAATGGGCAATTGAGAATCTCTCCGAAGGTGAAACACCTCTGAGCTTTGTTTTATGTCCTCAGTTGGATATGGAATGTGCTCTTTTGGATGGAGAACAGAAATCCGAAACAACTGAACTTATGAAAGAGAAGGAAATTTTGGATCATCTAAATCGGAAAATAGCAGAACTGGAAAAGAACATTGTTGGTGAAAAGACTAAGGTAAGAGAAAAGTATATTTGAATGCAATTTTTAGGGGCAATATGGTGGTTCCATTTGGTTAAATTTAAATGTTGTATGAATTCCCATGGTTTGGGATTTGTGTGTCATGTTCCTGGAGACAGTGGTACTAGAGGAAAGTCTTAAGATGAGGTAAGTTCTTCACAAAGAACTGTCAGGGATTGAGCCGTGGATGCTAAGGGACTAGAACCCATAGAACTTTCAAGTTGATATTCCTGACAGCTTAACCTACTTGAGATGAGTGAATCGCTTTTTTCCAACAGGCTTTCTGCTCTTCTGATTGTGCTGTGTTTTTTAAAGATTTATTTTAGCATAAGAAGTTTATTCTTAATTACTTGTATCCCGTGGGGATGACTTAAGCACATTCACCTGCTGTTGCCTTTTTTCTTTTTCATTTCTCTATTTATTAAGAATTTGAATGGGAACCATTCATTGCCCCTGTCCTGACTTACCATTGTCTTCAGTGCAAGGGCACTGCTCTTTGGCAAATGCACTGGAGTTGTCAGGCAATCCTCACACACTGTCAGGTGGAAAATATCCATGAAACACGGTTGACACTTACCTTGGAAAAGGTCTCACTCATACATTTCAGGCCACAACCTGAATATTAGCTGATACCTATTAGGGCAAGTGGGAAAAATTACTCGCAGCTTTTAGAATTCAGGGTTGTAGTTGGGTTTTTATCTGTTTATTTGTTTATTTCCTCTGGGAAATATTTTACTTTTCTCTCCCATTTTGAGTTAGTTACAGCTAAACGAACCCTAAAAAAATGAAATTCCAGTTTCGGAGGGAAAACGCAAACGAACTTGAACATATTTCTTCCTTGCTCACTATCTTCTCCACTAAGTTGAGAAAAAGGGGAAAAAATCAGTTTGAGTAAGTTCTGGTAGGTAATATGTGGAAAGGGTTTTTGCTGAATGCAGCTTCCTTTTTAGGCTCTTCTTTGTTTGAGACCTATAAATAAGGGCATTTGATCTTGGTGCCAGAGAATGAGCTCAAAGTGATATTGTCAGAAATTGATGTCAGACTAACAGCTACACATCAATTTCTTGCTTGCCTGCTTGTTGAGATTAACTACCCAGCTTTTTCACATTAAGTTTTATATATATTCTTCTAGCTCCAGACTTTGAAATAGTAAAGAATCCATTTGGGTAGTTGGTATATTTTCTTTAAAAGCCCAAAACCAAGTCAAAGGATTGATTGTCTAGATCTGCAGTAAAGGACGCTTCTGGTTTTCCAAGATTCTGCACTGGTAACAGCAAGAAACTGTGGGAACCGTGAGATGTCTTTGTTTGGGGTGCTTATTAGTATTTATTTTTATGTCCTACTGGTAAACTTGTGGGACAGAAGAATGGGTATCATGTTCTCTATGAGACTTTCTGCCTTCCTTATCCATGTAGTTATTAATCTTTGTGTAGCCCACACATGGCATGGCCTGAAAATTCTATTTGTCTCCGTCATTAACATGAGACACAAAAGCGAAGCAAGTGGTTTCAATGCTTAATCCCACCTCCCAGGGAAAGTCATGTTATATTCTGTAGCTCTAAAGGAGAGGTGGATCTCCAGGGACATGGATAGAAACAAGAAAGGAAGCCACCTCCATCCTTCCTATTATTGTTCTGGTAAGCTTGACAGAGGCTCTGCATAGGAGAAGGGACGCAGGGGGCTTGAAGTAAAGGACCGACTCATGCAGCTGTTAGGGTATACATTGGTCTTAGGGGGATTATTGTCTGTCATCACAGGGTGTGAAAAATGGCAGAAACTGGCTTTGAGTGAGAGATTCCAGAGAAGAACAAGGGAAGTAGAAACAGACTGGTTATAGTATTTTTGGTTATGATGTTGTATTCTGGTTATGATGTTACACGTATTTTTGACCACCAAACTCAGAGATTCAATACCACTTGGTGGCATTTTCGAATAAATTTGTACTGTCTTATGACACGGCTGTTTCACACTTTCACTCTGTTGAAACCTCTGGTCCATTTTCCTCCCACCAAGATGACCTTACCAGCTACTTCCCTGAGAAATCCAATCGGTCCCATCCCTTCCCCACTAAGGAGGGTTCTCTCCCCCCCTCAAAGATAAGTGGCTTGGGATGTGCTCTGGGTGTCATTCTATCCCGCCGTCTCCAGGTCAGCTCTTCTGTACCCCACTTCCTTAGCCTTCCTCTCTTTACTGAACTTTGACTGCCAACATGCCAACATTATTTTTACATTTTCTTATTATTAAAAAACAAACTACCTTCCAGCTATTGCCTTATGTCATTTCTCTTCATCAGAACCGTGCTTTTCAAACTGTTCTTCCTATACTGTGGGCCCTCTTCCTCAGTTCTAATTAACCACCACCCAACTCCAGTTGGTTTAGGCCCCCACTTCTCCATCAGATTTGTCCCTGGTAAGATGATAAAAGACCTCCATGCTGCCCAACCCACTGCAAGTTTTTTAGTCCCCTTGTGATCAGATGTCCTGAGCAGCATTCAAGACAGAGGACAACCCTATTTCTTTGTACTTGCCCCTCCTCACCCTGCTCCTTGGCCTCTTGGTGTCTCCTCTTCTGGTTTTCCTTGTCTTTCTCTTACTCATTCTCTCTGGTTTTTCCAACTTGAGTTCCCTTTTCTTATTTCTCTGGCTCTATAAAACTGGTTGTTAGAGTGTTTGTCTCCAAGCTGACCCTCTTCTCTTGTATTCTCTTGTTCTCTTATAGCTGTGGTGCCCCATGACCTGTAAATGCTGGTGACAGTCGAGTGCATGTCTTAGCCTACAACACTTTCCTGAAAGTCTGATTCAGATCCTGTAGCCTACCTGATGTCCACACTTAGACAGTTCACACCTATTGCTGACTCAATGCGCCTAATGAACTCTTGATCTTCTCCTTCCCCTTGTCTTCTACACACCTCCCCACCAATCCTGTTCTTCCTCCAGTTTTCCCAGGCCAGGAGATAGCCTCCCCAGCCACCTCTGTGTCCAAATGGTAACCCGGAAGTCAGTCCTGACACTTCTTTCTCCATCACCCTCACAGTAAGAGTTCTCAATGATTTCAGCTTCTCTGCATCTCCACTAACAGCATTCTCTTCTAAACCATCAGAATCTCTTCTTTCCGTCCATTTCCACTTGCCTCCCTTTAGTTCATTCTCTTCACAGCAGCCAAAGAGATTTTTAAAAATATATAAAGTAGATCCTATCACTCTGATTTGTGTTCCACCGTATTTTATATAAATTTTATATACTTGTTTGGTGGGCCTTCATCACTCCCCCCTCCTTCACACCATGCACATGCTGACCTTCTTTCTATTTGTTAAAGAGCCATCCTTCTCCCTCACCCCCCACCTCCTGCCAAGTCTGTTTCCTTGCAGACCTATTTCCCATGCCTGGAATTCCTTTCCCATATTCCATATCTTGTCCGGTCTATCTTTCCGGGCTTAGGTTCATTGTTAGCTCTCCAGAAAAGCCCTTTCAGACCCTTCCAGTCTTGATTATGTTCACCCTGTTGTTCTTTGAGTCCCCGTACAAATCCCGTTCCATACTTTACATGTGTTTGGGGCTTCTTAGGTATGGATTTCCCACTCTGGCATGTGAAATAGAGACAGGCAGTGCTCTCCACTGTTTACCGGCTCATAGCACCGGCTAGCATACCACCCAGCATGCTTCGGCAATACTGTCCTTAGAGCTCCTGCTAACAGCAAGCCCTTAGCAGAAACACGGAGCCAGACACCTGCGCTAGAGCTCCGCGCTGCCAAGCTCAGGCCATCTGGGATGGTGTGCTTCAATGCACATGCCAGTAGGCTCACCGTCACGCGGCCAGCCCAGCGGGAGTGCAAGACAGAAGGAGGAAGTGGCCTCTGCCCTTTGGGATCTCGTTTCCTTTTCCACACACCTGTTGCTGCTGTTGGAAACTGGAATGAGAAAACCAAAACCTGGAAAGATATCCCTGCCGGGCAAGCTCCGCCTCAGATGTCGGTAGCACGTCCTGTAAGCCTGGCCCTACTGTTTTGGAGACAAGGCCTGGAGCCGCAGGAGGAAGGCTTACTGACACCCCAGATTTCAAATACTGGTGTGAAAAGATCGACATCCTTCCCTTGGCACTCGAGGCCGGTCCTTGGTATTATTTCTCTTAAGTGATTTGGGGGTTGTCATTCTGTTTTAGCTAGTTGGTAATAAATTAATTACAGGTGTAACTCACTTTTTGAAAGTTCACGTTACAACGCTTCACACTTACCAAAGACCTCCGTTAGCACCTGTTTTCGCTGAGAGAAATCCGAAGAGGATTTCCGCTTTTAAGCAAAATGGCGGTGAGACGTGACCCTAGCGTTCAGCGTGTGTAAAGCCTTCAGCGCCTGTGCTGCCGGGAGTGCGCCGTCACACCCCCAGCAGCCAGAGTGGCGCCACCTAGCCCCCTGCCTGGGAACTACAGCAGCATCTCCGCATCAGCAGTCGCAGCTTCCAACTGTGTCTGTGGACATCTGTGCTTTATCTGCATTTACTTGGTGTATCTGTTAGAAGAGCAAGATGTGTCCTAAGGTATCAGAAAAGCCGAAGAGAAGTTATTTTGGGGGTCTGGGAAAGCTTAACATTTTTTCCATGTAAATTACTGGTAATTGCTTCTTTGCTTTATACCATTTCAGTTTAGGAAGGGTTTCATAGGAGCGCTCCACTTTCAGATACAGAGGGGAACCTGAATGTTATAGATGACTTATTTATTATACGTTACACATCTAAAATATAAACAGTCTAAAATACAGACAACAGAAAATATAGTCTCAGAGACTTTCCGTTACCCAGACGCTCATCATAAAGCTCAGCCACTCTTTGTTTTAGGATCTGTCCTCACACAGACAGATTATGGTATCTTGTTGCCGTCCTGGCCTTGTTTGTAACTAAACAGGCTTAAAGGTGTGAATTGAAGCTTAAATCACTCCATGCCATATAACTCCTGCCACAGAGAAATCTTAAGTTATTTGACTAGTTCTCCTACTCGAAGCATGT